ATTGATATATATTCAAAATTGAAAAACTAAATTAATATTTATAATCAAAATTTAAGGATTAAGCTGGTGTTTATCTTTAAAATTTAAGAACTAAGTTGATATTATTTTCAAAGCTTGAGAACCATTTTAGTATCATAAATTAAAGTTTAGCAACAATTTTAATACTTTCTGAAGTTAAGGGATAATTTTAATATAAATCCAAATGTTGAGGGACCAAATTTGGTATTTTAACCCTTGGATTTTGAGGGAATGAAGGAAAGCAGGAGCAGGACGCCTTCTTACTCGGCGTTGCATCAGGTATCTAGCATAGAGGAGATGGAGTGTGATTATGAGCATCACCATCGCGAATAAATAGAAGATTGCGGCCAGCATGATCTTCTATCTGGCCCGGCTGAACCCAAAATTTTCTTCCTCAAAACCCAAGGTTTTTCTACTTCATTCTCATTTTTTTTTTCACTCACTCACTATCCAAAAAATCACATTAAATTTGATTAATATAAAATCAAGCTACATTAGGCCTATAAAGAGAGTTGCTTTGGACCTATAATGAGAATATTTTTCAATATTTATTTATTTTTATTTATAATATTTAAATTCAAAATTTTATTTAAAGGAAATTAAGTTATTTTTATTTAAATCAACAGTTCATTGATTCTACTTTTATTCTTAATCTATATAAGAGGATGTTACTTAGTGATCATATGTTTACTTTGTGAGGATTGGAAAATGACACTTTAAACTTGGAAATTACATTACCATGCAATCCTTTCTAAAAACTGAAGGAATGTTTTACTGGCTACTTTCTTGTTCTGTAAAATTGAAATTTAATTTGAATTTTTTTTTTTTTGAAAAGCAAAATTTAATTTGAATTTGTTCATGGGTATGTGCAAATATCATTGGTTGTCATGGTTTTGATCTGGAAATTTTGAAATTTAGTTTGAATTCATTCATGGGTATAAGAAATTAAAAATTCAGGAATGGAGATTTAGCAGTGTAAGGAGAAAAGGGGGAGGAAGAAGATGAAGAGGGTATATTTTGTCAATTCAAAATCAAATGAAGGGTAATTGATCGAATTAATAAAATTAATTTAGTTTTGGGTGGAACCTACCTGCCATTTCATTTGAGAAAGCTACTAAAATTCCACACAGGTATAAATTGTTGCTACCTCATCAAAATGGTATCATGTCAACGAAAAAGAGACGGAAGGCTAACGGCATGTGAAATTTTGTTGCTTTTCATGTGTTTTTAAAGCTTTGTTTTGGGGGGTGTGAGATTGACCAATAATAGTAAGACATTTTAAATAAGGTCTTTCTATTATATGGGTTAAAAATAATAAATATATTTTTTTATAATTAAGTTTTCTTAAAAATATAAATATAAATATTAATTTAATCAATTAGTTAATTTAAATCATTCACGTATCAATGATTTTAAAATATATATTAATTTTTATAATTTTTAATGTGAATTAAGTATAAAAAAATATATTTATTGAATTTTTAATTTGTGTTCTTAAAATACAAATTTAGATAAATCTTTTTAAATAAAATTAGTAGATACATCGTGAAGTTAAAAAAAGATAAAACATTATTTTTTGTTATACATATAACATTATATAAAATTATAACTCATAATATTATATGATAATAAATATAATATAATATTATAAATAAATTTTTAAATAAAAATATTTTATATTATAATTTTATAATACCAGTTAATATTATAATTATAATATTTTTGATAACCTATAGTCTAAATGTTAAAAAAATTGTCACTTTATTTCATTTTATGTGGTCATGAAAGGCTCATTAATTTTCATTCTCAAAACCACGTAAAAATTGATATTTTAAGCAATTCTAAAAAATGGTCCCACAAGGGGTGGAAATTTGCTCGTATTACCTTTTCCTGAGGCCAGTGTGATTAGAGATACGTTATATTAAGAAAATTTTTATTAAAAAAGTAATTAGAAAAGTATTACATAAAAATTATGAAAATTAACAATAAAATTTTATTAAATTTTTATTGAATTATTAATTTTTTTATAGTTAGAAAAAAAATATAAATAAAAAATTAGTGGAAAAAGTTGATAGGTATGTCTAATACAAAAAAGAAGAAGATTATTCTCTTTTAAAAGAAGTAAAAAATTTTATGAGTTTAGAATTGTATAAAAAATAAATGTCCAAAATTTTACTTTGGCTCTCTTTTTATTGTATTATTAATATATAAAGGTATATAAATAATCTT